ATAGTTTTTCAGTGTCATTCGGAAAATTCCAGAAATTAACTGATCCGGCAATGAATAACTGCAGAATTTCCATGTCGTTTTAGAGCTGTCAAAATTTCAAGTTGAATTTTCTAACAGAGTAATAAAATATCAAAAATTTTCCGGAAAAATCACCGATTCATTGATTAAATTGTTAGAAATCCTTAGAAATTCTATGAAAGATACGACAGTAATTCTCATTTCTCATTTAATTTGATTTGACTGATTTGAAAAATAAATGAATTTTCCGAATTTATAAAAAATGAAAGTGACCGTTGATAGTTCGCTATTCATCCGAACTCCCCGGATCATAAACAATTGTCGGATATTTCAAAAGATATCTCATTCAGTTATCCAACGTCTGGACAATATGAAATAGTGCTCCTGAAAAGGAGGACGCGAGGAAGATAATCGTGGGAAACCCCTCATACATCCTCACAAACGTCTCCTTTCCCCTCTCACGCAGTGATTGATGACGCCGATATCCTCACCTTCAGTCTCATCGTCCCCTCCTCTTTGCGTAATGCTGCACAGCAAGGTGAATGCATGCAAGTTCCAATTTCGCAATTCCGTATGAATATCCCCTTTCCCCAGTATTTCCCACTCCTTCATTTCCTCTAGAGAAAGATGACACCGACACACATCCACTGACCAAGACGAAATCAATTTTCAGGGACTTATCCTTCGTTTTTTAGAATTTCAAAATTTCTAAATTCAGAAAATTTTTCAATAGTCATCAGAAATAAAGTCCCTGGACACCAGAGAAATAATTTTGCATTAAAAAAAAATCGTCACCTTAAAACAGTATTGCACTTTTCATGAAAAATTAATTAAATTTTTCCATTCCACATACGCTTAAGGAATTCACGGGCTGAAATTAATAAGATTTCATGATCGAATAAAATTTTGAAAATGTATATGTTTTCCTGGGTGCCATGAGCTTTACATCGACACGTGTCCCATCGTGGACAAACATGAATAGATTAAAGAATTAATTCACCGGATAGTTCATTCCACCGGGGAAAATATAAGCGATAAAATCTAGTGGATCCAGGTGTCTCGGAGTTCACCTCACAATTGCGATAAATAATTTATCTCGAAGCAGTGGTATCCTCTCACTTGGATATTTGCCAGAGAATCTATCAATCTTTCAACTCTCTCTTATTCTCTTTTCCCCTGCACTCGATTCCATGGCATTCCCTTCTTTTTTTCAATACACGGAACAAGGCACTCGGTCTTGCCCCCTCGAGAGATTGTGAGCTATCGCCTTTAACGGTCGCTCGATCGATTGAGGGGCCCCTCACAGGAATTGAAGGGGGTGCGGAGGGAGGCAATGGAGGGTGGAATGAGGGATAAAGAACTGGGAAAAAGTTTGAGATCTCGTGTTACTCTTCCTGTTGGCGATGGTTAGGGTCTCATCAAGTTTGTTATTTTTATCACTGTTAGCTGATTACTCTGTTGTCCGATACATATTCCCCTATCTTACTGATAACTCGTTTTTTTTTTAAATCTCGTTTATCTCGATTCAGTGCATCGACAGCACTCGATCGGATAGTTTTAAACACCTTGCGATGGAGTGACAAGTGGGCGAGAGAACTACTGCGTGAAAGACGGATCATGAAGGGAGAAGTTCGAGTTTTAATGAAACGAGTCGAAGTCCGGTCGAGGGTATAACCGGTTCCACGAGTTCCTCGCTCTCCCCTTTCTCGCTTTTTCTCCCATGCACTCGGTCTCGGTTAATTTTTTTTCTCTTTTCAATGTTTTTTTTCCTCTGAGGCTCGTACCACCGGGTCAGGAGTAACAGAATTCTAAAACTATCGGACTTTAAGGTGATTTTTTTATCGGAGTTTTCCGTCCCTTTAAATTCAATGGAGGGACGTCTGGGGGAATTTTCCCAGAGTCTGCGTGGTTGGGAAATGACCCCTGGTGAGTCACGATCGATTCTTCGGGATGAATTTGCCGACGGGAGGGGACGCAGGTACTAGTCGTTTGATTCTATTTCCTATCGTAAATCCTTGCATTCCGCTTTTTGGGGATTCGTCTGGATTTTTTTTTTTTTTATTATCACATTGTCAACCTATTATAACGGGAATGAGGAAATTAGGTTTAGGTTTTAGTGGATGACTAAATCATCATTTTTGCATGATTTTAAGTCCTAATTTTTTCCCAATTCGTCTAACGATTGAAGTATATCCATTTTGTTCTGGAAAAGTTTGATAAAATTCACATTCCCAAATAAATTTTCTGTCACAATTTCTTGGGTGTCAATTTTACGCGAGGCTCTTCCCGGCTACACTCTTATTTTTTCTTCATTAATTCCTATTTCAAGTCTTTCGTAAAAATTTCTATTCATGACGTTTTCAACGATATTAAAAATAAAAAAAAGTTTTTAGCTTCAAGTGAACTCGTGCTTTAATCTAGAAACTTTTTCTTCACCACAATAAATTTTTCTTCTCAGTGCGTAACTGCAGAGGGAAAGTGCCTCCGAAAAATGGGCCTTGACGTTCTGAGAATTTCGCGTTCCATTAATAACTCCGAAACAGTGCGAAAACCGCACATTAATTTTCCGTAATCGCATAAATATCCCGGCGATACGCCCCACTCTGGTAATACAGTTTGATGCATGCATACTCACATTGAAACAATGTGAGTGAGGGCTTTATCGGTCGTAAACACGCGAGTAATTATCGCGAACTGCTATCTCGCCTAGCAGCCAACTGCGTCACATCCGGTCACTGACCATTCAATCGTCACGATTCACCCCGTTGAATTGGTCGCGTGTAATGAATTATTCCAATGCAATGTACATGCGGCCGCTGAGTAAATGGATGGTAATATCAGTATCGGAAATATCTCTACTATTATGACACTGTAAAAATACATTAAATGTAATCACAGTGGAATTAGAGCCATTAGTTCAAATGGTTGAAAATTGACGGGTCGAGTTCAACGAATCCTTCATGAAGTCCTTTCCATTCTCACCTCATTTTATATTTATTATCCAAGTTACAATGATAAACACTTACTCGTTGTTAAAAATGAAAAAGTTTTCTTCAATCGAGAAACTTTTTCAATATTCAGAACTTTTTTACTCTACACGTATAAAAATATTTTAATTGCAATTAAAAAATTGTGAGATCTCTTTATAAACAGCTCTCTCGTTTATCATAATCAGGGAACATACACGTTGGATAATTACACTTTAAAATTTAAGTAAAAATACTTGAATTTTTTACACTCAGAGCTTTTTGACTCTGCAAACATTCTCCTGGCAATGAAACAATCATAAAATCTCTCAATAATCAATTTTCTCGATAATTCCAATTAATAATTTTGACTTTCCAATATTGGGATTCCTCGAATCGTCGATAAACGTCACCTTAGTTCGGTTTAAATGAATTTCCGCTGGAATCCCGAAAATAGAAGACCTCATGAGGATTAAAAATTGAGTGACAGCTGATAATCGAAATCCTTATCTTCCTCCACACTGAATAAATCAAATGATTGAAAAACTCCAATCAATATATGCCGAATAAACCGAAAAATGTATATAAAAGTAATTGCAAATGCCGGGGTTTAAATGGCGCGGGATTCTGCGAATCGAATCGATTGGACCGAGAGTATTTCTAGAATTGCTGGGGTCGATCAGACGAATGAAGCAAAAAAAAATCTGTACACTCGCGAGGAGGCTGTACACTGGTGGCCACCGTCTGAGGGCCCGAGGGTACAGCTGCGAGTCGCTATTGTATTTTTATGATGCTCTGAACTCTCCCGCCAGGACCCTCAAGGTCTGTGAGCCTGCTCGACATCTCTTTACCTGTTTTTTACCCACTTTATTCCCATTCCCTCTATGGAACGTATCAAATTTTAAGGAAAAAAAAAAACCTATTTATGAGAGTCACCGACGAACAGAAAACCTCAAATCACATTGTCCATATTAAGGATTAAATGTGTTTAAAACAAGCTTTGATCTTTTCTGAAGAGACCTGTGGAAGGGAGTCACCCCGTTAGAGATTCTTTTCCCACCCTCGTAAAACCCCAAGCAAAAAGGGCGCCTGGGGGTCATTGCCAGCTCAATGAATACCTATTCTCTATTGTCCACGCAAAGGGGTGCCAGGCTGGAAAAAAAATCTATTGTCAAAAAAGTCTATGTTTATGGTGCAGTTGATGGTGGCAATCGATTATAAAAATAATCGTCCTTTTCTAGTCTCTTGAAATAATTCAGAAAAGATGAATGAGTGTTATTGACTTGTATTGAGTTTATGTAATATTCTTTTCTATTTGCAATTGAAATATTCTCTTTTTTGTTGTCCATACTTTCACTGTCTTATCCAATACGAATCATCTTTTTTTCTGTGGTAGGCAAAAAATTCAGTTGAATCTTATCAGTCCGTTGCTCAAAACTAAAATCCTCTTTGCCGATATTAAGGAATTTTTTTTAGGGATATAAAAACCTATTTTTCGTGTTTGCGCGATAGTGATCGAATAAATCGAACGAAAGTCGTCGGTATCTAGAAAAAGGCATCACTCTCTCCGATTAAATTGGCGGACATCATCAATTTCCAGTACGTGTACCCTCGAAAATAAAGAGCCCGATCAGCTGAAAGAGTAGCTTCATGGTCTTCAAACATTTTCTCTAGTATCCCTGGCATTTTCCCCTGGATTGTAAAAGCAAAAACAATACGAACACCCTGACTTATCCTCCTGCAACTCGAAAGGCTCTTAGAGACGGAAAAATGGAGGCAAAAAAAAATGAAATAGGGAATGACTCGAGGAGGAAGTGAGCAAGAAACCGGCTCCCTCAAGATAATAACAGTAAATCCTAAGCAATAAATCCTCAAGTTATTTTCCTCCCTTTTTCCCCAAGTAGCCGTCGTTTTTTCGCTCGGCTGAGTCTCCAACCACGCGCATCCTGAAACTATAGTTGAGATTGCTTACAAGTGAAAATATAATTTTATTTATCCTCTTTCTTGTGTTTTCAGATAAAGCCACATCCAGAAATAACAACCGCCGTGGACGCGTCAGTGAGGGTACAGTACGTGACAAGGTCGAGGAATCCTCTAAAGAGGACAGAGAGAATAAGGGTCCAACAACTGGTAAACCTGGCAATCGCACCCCACGACCGGTCCTCGAGGAGACTAACAACGCCTCAGGTAGTGCTGGTAAACTGAGAAAACGTCCAGCCGGGATCAAGAGCATCGAGAGCAATTCACGTAGATCAGTTCGCAGTAGAAGGACACCAGTAAAGTTCGAGACAGAAATAGCTGACGATGATGATCACATCGTAAAGGATGAGAGACTAGATACAAGAACATCTGAAGAAGAGGAAATTGACGAAGGATCGGAGGACATAGAGGAGAGTGAGCAAGGGCCTACCGATTCCCTGGTGAAGCGTTTCAAGAGCACTCGAAAATTGAGGTCAGGGAGTAAAGAATCCATCGAGGACAAGCAACTAGCGGGTGAACAGGCGGATAAAGAGGGTGACGATAAAATCGTCGATGTGAGGCATTCAAGTGTCAAGCCGGAGGAGGACAGTGAGTCACGAGAACGTGACAGAGAGCCAGAGCCACCACCTGCTGAGGCACCAGATACTGGTGGCAATTTGGTGACATTGATCGACGCTGAGGTAAAAGTTGAGGGTCTGTTGAATGGAGTGATCGGTGAGGGTGTAGACGATAAGTCTGGATCACCGAAGCCCTCGGTGAATTTGGTCGAAGCAAGTACTGGCCAAGAGGAAAGGGATAAGGAGGTGTTGAAGGGAGTTGAGAGGTGTGAGAGTGAGTTGACCGAGTCTGTAAAGCAAGACGGCTCCGTGCTGGATAGACTTAGTCCTGTGAACGGTGTGCCGGGGCGTCACAGCCTGCTCCATGAAGAGCAGGAACGTAACCGGCACAACGAGAGTCCAGTTATACTTGCAGAGAGATTGAACAAACCACCGCCAAACGTCTCCCATTATCCCCAGCATCATCTACAGGGCTATCATCCGAGATATAGCACTGGTAGTCCGGTGATTCATCATCATCGCGCTAGTCCACAGAGTCAGCATATTTTAACAGGACTCATTGATGTCAGTGATAAAGGACAATCGTTGAATTCATCGCGCATTGGCGATGATGCCGGCAGCCATCTCATGGAGGTGGAGGCCGGTGCTATTGGCGGACCTGGGGGGCCATGCGGTGTCATTGGTATTACACCGATTACTGGGAGAAGTGGTGCTTATGGTGATAGTGGATCAGACAGCGGGATAAGCTCACTGCGGAGTGCTGGCTCTGGTGACGAGAGGAGTGGCAGTCGTAGCTCAGCATTGAGTGCTGAAGACACTGCTGTACCATCGACATTGGGTAATTCAGCAGTGCCTGCACGCATTTGGCACGTACACAGTGTACAGCATACGTCGTTAATGATGGCACATCCATCGGGCAGTGCTGGAGGGGCTACCAGTGCTGGACAGACAGTCACTGCACCACCTACAACTACACCCGTTGGATATCAGAGCCCTGCTGGTCATCATCATCCTGCTGCTGCTGCTGCTGAGATGCTGTGGAGACCGCCGAGGTATCCGTCGTTGTCGCATTCGTTGTTGGCACCCGGACAACCCACTCCTGAGGAGATGCTTGAGAGAGATCGACATGAGAGGATGCTTAGGTGAGTCCCATTTATCATTCATTCTTCTACAAAAAGCGGTCGGAGCGTATTTTTTTAAAATGATTAATATGTGCTAAACATATCAAAATCATATAGGCAAAATCGACAGTTAATTGAACCATTAAATTGAACCCATAATACAAATCATGATCCACCCAACAATAAATAGTAAATTTAACAGGAATGAAAATGGTTCGCAAATCCAGCGATATTAACGGGTAGGATTTTCGTTACTGAGAGCTATCAATCTATCGGGAAATAGATTACTCAGCACGTAGTTTAATCTATAATATCACTCAGTGAAAAATGCCTTGAGGTCAAATAAACTTGGAATGTAAACACAAATATTGAGGAAAATAATACTGTCGATCATTTGTGTTGACATACAAGATCTACTCGGATCGATGGAGGCGCTCTTGTTGTTGAGACTAATTCGTTCAGTTTTACAAATCGTCTTGTTTACGAATGACGATGAATTTGAGAATATTTAAATGATTCAGTGGAATATACAGAAATAGCCTGTTCTCCCAGATAGAAAAGGTCATTGACTTTGATATAAGGGAGAAGGATTCCGTATAAAACTTGTCATTTTCAAAGCAGAAATTCCTTGACATTTCCCTGCGATTTGGCCATACCAAAAATATCGTCCAATATTTTTAAACTCATCTCCATCATGCCCGAACTTAATCAATTCTCTCGTCAAAAATTCCCAATCCGCCAGATTTGACACTTGCAACCATTCTTTTTTCGCGAACAACGAGTTCAAGAAAATTTGGATGAACAGTGATAGATTCGACTGATTCGTTCTCACGAATAAAACTTTTGAATAACCAGTCCACTCACAATTCAAGATCACAATATAATCCAACACTGGCGTATTTTTAATGGTAGACTAATACAACTTCAAATAGCACTCTCATTGCAACTTTATTCAACTTCCTTCCTCGTTAATTATACAAACGACGTGCCCCTCGCACTTAGTTCCACATAACTCAACTCCCACATCGTGAAAACTAAATACCTGAATCACCTAGTTGAAACACTCGTAACACACCATTGCACTTTCCTTTGTTCAATAAAAAGAGAGACTCGTAAATAAGAAATTGTGCAAAAATGATGATCGCGTGACTGTCAGAGGCTCCTTGACGCTTTCTTCGTGTCTCGCATGTGAATAAGTGCTATAAAATGGCCGCACATGTGAATACATGACGTGTATATATGTCCATTTGAGAATAGGGGAAACGTCCCGAGACTTGGTCATGTGTATTATCTTTTTTTTTTTTTATTCTTGGGGTGTATTTGTGCAAGTACGTTTGCGTTTAACGTGTATGGATGGAGTTTGAAATGAGTGAATGGGTGTTGTTTCCGGGCGCCAGCTGCGTGCGGAGACTCGTTCCTCGTTTCCGTTTGATTATTGTCCACGATTCTATACCGGAGAGACGTGTCTTCAAACGATGACCTGGAATTATTCACCTCCATTGTTTCTTCGTCGCAATCTACTCTAGACTTGTCATAATTCATTCAGAGGTAAATTTTTTTTTTCAACACGAGCGAGAGTTTCCGATCAAGGTCATCATATACTTTTTAATCACGATATGACTGCGTGAAAAAATCGACAACGTTGTGGCTTTTATTTATTCAAATGACATGAGTCATTTGTTACGCGATACTCGACATCTCGGTGACAATTGCGTAACGATTGTTATCGCTTTAACAGCCGTCGAATGAAATCATAACAAATGATTAATTGGAAATTTAAGTTGCGGGAACAAAAGTGATAATAAGTTAATGAATGTGAAAGTGAATGAAAAGAAGAGAGAAGTGTTCTGGATGTTTCAGAAGAAGATTTTATAGTTGAAAAAGAAAATGAGTGGAGAGATTCAGGAAAATCCTGTGGATTTAGGAACTCTCTTTATTCCTTTTTTGGCCATAAGGAAGTTAGCTCTAACATCAAGAAACTTTTTCTCTCTGGAACGAAAAAGACTCATTCGCCTATGAACTGGGTTACAAGTAGTTACTGAATTTATTATCCGGAAAAGTGGACAATAGCTTGCGCTTTTGAACAATTTTTCCCGAAATTCCTCTTGGATTCTTCATGGCGGTTTTTATCGTACGAATTTATATCGAAATCTCAGGAGTCATTCAGATTATATCAAAAATTGAATGAAAGCCCAACATTTTCGAGTAACTAACCCAAAAAAATCGGTAAAAGCCCGAAAAAATCATGTCATTAAACATGAAACTTTCAATTTTAATTCATTTACAAAAAAAAAATGGTTAAAAATAAGTTTTAACGATTTTTTCGGGCTGAAAAAATCCTCCATGTGGAAATGGAAACTCTAGAATACCCAAGGAATTAATCGATCCATCAATGAGGACATTTGGTAAAAGTTGAGGAAAGGAGAGGACGGGTTTTATCACTCGTGTCACGTCGGACAGAATGGAACTGGACCGGATAGCCATGTAATACCATCACTAATCGTATTCCAAACCGTTTCCTCTGCCTCTCCATTTTCCATTGAATGTGGGCACTAGTCCCCGGGCAAATAATCACCAGCTCGTTATGCATTTCACGTGCTTTCCGTAGCACTTGTGTTAGTTCGCGTTGACAGAGAAGTGTTAACCACTGACCTCCAGGTTACCTCTCATGACGCATAACTTTTAGCCAAATCGCTTAATTCCCAAAAGACAGCTTCCAATTATTTTTAGAATTCTCGCTGGAATTTAACCTCCGTCCTGATTATTATTATTTCTTTTTTTTTCCCCCTTCATTTTTCTCCAATCGACTTCCGCAATCGGGTTATCGTTATCGCGGTTGTCTAGAGTCCACTGTGTAAATATTGAACAACACGTGATGATAAGAGTTATTTTCTTCGCTTCTTTCTGTCGATTTAAACCATCGGTTTCGTCACTCGATTTTTCAAATTACCAGCATTCTCGGAGGCCAGGTGGTCGACAGGTGCCAACACGCGGTTTTTTTTTTGTGGTGAATTAATTCCATAAAACGTCTTTCTCGGTGCAAAATTTCCTAGTGGGGGAAAAATGGGGAATGGCCAGGATACACCTGCACACTTTAAATAAATTTTCACTCAATTTTCCGGGTTTTGCCACTGTAAAGTCGGAAACGATTCGATTCCAATGGTTATTCAAATCGGCACCATCACCGGTGAGATAATGACAATGTGGTTGTAAATTCTTCGGACAAATCCCCACAGGAGTTTTTTTTTTAGATTAGATTCTGTGCAATTTGTGGAAAATTCTGCATTTTTTTCAACGGCTACTGTACGTGCTGAACTTTTGGGTAGATTTTCCTTCGGGAATTCGGTGGGGGAGATGAAAGTCCGAACTCAACCGTTTAACGGTGATTGGGTCAGGTTTTTCAGTTCTGAAAGATTTCAGTGCTGAGTCATGCTTGATCATGCTTGGGTGGAGATTGTCTTTGAATTTTCTGGTTTTCATTGGGATTTATCGGGGGATAGGCCAATGTTTTTGGTGAAACGGTGAATATTCATGGCAGGTTGTAGAGTTTTCCGTGATTTCGTGACCATGTGACCGTTTTAGAGTGGAAGGGATATTCGAAAACTCGATGAATGGAATTTCTTGTTTTTACAGGCCTCTGACGAGATCGTCAAAGTCACCTTTTATTTTTACAGATGAATTAACGGAATGCCGTTGTGATTTCGTGGCATTGAGAGCCAACTTTTATTCTCTTGAATATTTTTTAATGCCATTTTGAGGGAGTCAGAAAAATTGATAGTGAATTATTTTATCGATTTTGGTTTTTGTGGAATAATTCAAGAAAAATTGGTTTCTCTGAATTTTCTAGAACAGCGTTGAACTTTGAACTACTGCGGGATTTTAATGATTGTTCAAGATATTATATAAAAACATGAAACATGAGAAGATATGAACAATAACTCCTCAATTCCTAACTGTCCAGGAAAATAAAAAAAAAATAATTAAACTTTGCCGATGATTGCGGTGGACATGCGTGTAGGGGTCTATAGGGGCGTGAGTCAAGAGAGTTTGACAAGAAGAGCCAGGTGAAGGTGTCTTGCACGTAAAGCCCTCTAGTCATATACATGCTGACGTTGTATTTATAACCCGTGAGGCGTCTTGGCTTGCCTCGTAAATTCATTTATAAATAGATTATGCATATAGCATAAAGAGAACGTTTATGTAGTTTCACTTCGCTCAGGGGTACATGCATCTCGAGAATATTTCCGCCGCGTCTCATAAATTTTTTGGCAATTGTTGACAATTTCCCCCGAGTTTCAATGATGTCAATTGCCCGAAAGAATAAATAACCCACATCCTCAGGTCCTGCAATCATCACTCAAAGAGAAACACTTTAATGATCCGCAATATTATCATTTGTGTCTCTTTATCTTCATTCCATTATTTTTTTTTTCAACCTTCGCTTCATGAGATACTGTTTTTTTCTAATATCTCATCCTTGAAATTGTAGAGGTGAAATTGCGGGGGTTTATGGAGCCATTTCGTTTTACCTTCCTCGTAAAAATTCTCCTCTAAGGAAGCGCTTTGGAGAGAAGCTGAAAAAAAATGTCAGTAAAAATACAGGTATGAGGAAAAAAAGCTTTGTGTGCGGTCGTGTAAACATACTCTGTATATTCACCCTCGGGCGGGCCTGTTCCTGGTACAATTAGGCATGTCCAAGTACTCCAGATAATTTTTTCCCTCGAAATACTCTGCATTCGGTGTTAAATGTCCGAGCTTTTCACCAAGGACCATTTCACTCTAGGTTTACCGATATAATAATCGTATCAACATCGAAGTGCTAAAAGGTGGTTAGAATTTCAATTTTCTTCCTTCTGAAATATCCCCTAATCTCCAAAACTATTGATTTTATTCGAAAATACTAAGAGACTTTAATTGCCGAAAATTTATTCAGCTACAAAAAAGTACTCTTCGGTTTTCTTCCTGGATCGATAGTTTTCGAGATAAATGGATGATTAAGAGAAATGCCAACTTCTATTCAT